AAAAAAAAAAAAAGAGAACAGATGAAATTGGATAAAACTGAATCGAAAGTTTATAGGAGATCCTTTACTTTTAATGCTTGCATCATTTATCATTAGATCTCCTCAATTAGCATATCACTAAATAATAGTTCATTACAATTTTCATGGTATACTTATTTATCGAGCAACAAACATTTACAACGTTCAGAAAGACACCTTCGTGTGGTCAAATTATAAGAGAATTCTAATATAATCAAGGGATTATCCAAGAGTTATTGAACTGCCATCAATAAAATACCTGCTTAATCGAAAGTGAAAAATGAAATTGATCAATATTTCAACGTGACCTACTAAATAAGGAACTGAACGTAATTGACCAGCGTTTCTTCGTGATTGGCACACAATTACGCTGCACTTACAAATTGGCCTCGATCTTCGAGCATTGTGTCCATTATTGATACAGATTTGGAACACGTCCAGATATACCTTTAAACTCTAAACGAATATCCTGGGCATATCTCTGTCGATTATCAGACTATCTTGAACTGATCCCAAGTGAAAAATTTTTTTAATGATCCTCGATACCAATCTTCAGCTAGCATAGTTGACGGCTCGATGTAGTTTGAATTGAGTTATTTAATTCTGGCTTTCGTTTCAACTGAAAAAGGGACCAATGTTTTGTGGGAATTTCCGACAAAGTATTGAAAATTGAAACCAGGTACATACTATATTAATACAAATACTTTTTCAATTTTTTCCAAACTTGAGAAATTTTTGTAAAACTTTCTGTTTTCTTCAAATTTCTTGTTTAGATTATGCTTAATTTATTTACTAGTTAGAATTATTTAATACTTCTAATTTATTTACTATTTAAAATTATTATGCATTAATTTACTTACTAGTTAAAATTATTTAGATTTCGAGACGAAAGTTAAAAAAATGACCACTAGTAAATTAAGCTGTATAAAATATATCTTACTATTATTGTCAGAATAAGTATCATTCATATTTACCATACATATAATCATTATATATAAATTTTTGTGAGATCATACTTTTTATTTATTTTATTCATATATACTGTAAACATCATATTTTGAAATTGACCTAATTTTAACTAATCTCTTTTCGAATCTTCTTTTTCTATTTTGAATATCTGAAATTTCACAAATTTACATTATAATATTTATTCTCTTTTATTGTTTGATATCATTCGAAATAATCGAATATTTAAATAGATGATACTTCGGATAATCTAGGTCAAGTACATATCGCTGTATCCTTTTATTCTTAATAAATATTTTCATAGATAATAAGATGTCAAAAACTCTCAACTTTTTATTACACATGAAACCTAACTTTTATCGTATTTATCGTAACGAACTTAACTTACGTGTGGCACTCAACATGTGAAATTTGTAGTACTATAGTTTACAGTTTTCCGAGTTTCTCACCTGTGACTACACTCTATTATCAAAGAGTTAATATAAACTTTTAGCATTAGAATATCTTCAGGTACACCGTGAGGAAGTTTTATACTTCGTGTTTGTGTATTTAGTGTGAATATTTAGTGCATGTTTAACACGTTTGTTTGACATGTATGCTTGATACTTGTGTCTGGTATGTAGATATAATATGTGCATAACCTCGTTCATTATCATTATTAAAACATTCCATGGAATATGAAACAAACCTGGAAAATCATTAGAAAATCAGCCTTTTAATTCGGGGAACATTTGAACGTGCAAACTTTGCTGTTTGATCGTTCTGAGCTTAACCCTGTTATATAAGGTGAGCCGAAAGTTTCTTCCCACCTATCTTTTCGATAAAACATTAAAATGCAAGGAAAAAAACTTTTAAAAAAATTTTGTTAGTTTTTTATTAGTTTATTAGTTTTTATTTATATATAAAGTTCCTTCTCACCTATTCTTTTCGATAAAACATCAAAATGCAAGAAAAAAACTTTTAAAAAATTTTTATTAGTTTTTTATTAGTTTATTAGTTTTCATTTATATATAAAGTTCCTTCCCACCTATTCTTTTCAATAAAACATCAAAATACAAGAAGAAACTAATTTTGTTAGTTCTTTATTAGTTTATTAGTTTCTGTTTATTATTTTCATTTATATATGATAAAACAAATTACGGATTTATTTTAGTAGGAAGTGATTTTTGGCCCACCCTGTATACACATGTACATCGTGAGGTTCTACTACTAGAACTTCTACTTACTGTAGAACTTCCTCTCTCTCTCTCTCTCTCTCTCCCAATCATGTCAACGCGATTAATCATCGAATAAAAAGCCCTCTGTCGTTTTCATTCCCGTTTGTACATACGATACTTTATATATCGGCCGACAGATTATAGCGAACAGGTCTCCATAATCGCGATCAAGTTTTCAGCGGGGAATCAGGCACGTAGCGAATAAAGGCTTCACGAGTAGGTGAATCTAGGTGTACATGCATACCCTATTCTGATTCAAGATCCTTTCGTGTGTCGAATTATCGCGGGCGTCAACGAAGAATACCAACGCTGACCCCGTGACCCCGATTTTCCTTCATTGTGCCGGGGCGACGAATTTTACATACGCCGGCAAACAAATGTCCGTGACGCGTTGACGTACGCACACGCGGACCAGCCGGCTGGTTTGGTCAGTAATTTTGCCAGTTCGCGTGATTCGATCTACGAACGCATTTTACCAGCGATGTTTGCACGCAAATCTTACTTCGAAGAAGTAAGGAGGCCGCGTGTTTTGTAACCAAACACCCCTCCCTCCTTTCCCTCGAGTCCCTTGGTTGCTTCGAGACAATTGCTGATCATTTGATATCACCTGAATAAATATTAATATTTCCGCATAAAAGTTGCCGTTTTTTTTTTTTAGCATAATCGCTCGAGCGAAGCTAGTTAATATTGACGTAGTTAAACAACGGATATAAATCATGTATTTGCAAAGAATTTGCTCGGTTACGTACTATGAAACAAGAGCGGAAATT